AGGTTGATATGAGTGTATAAGATCATTGTTGGGGCATAAAAGGAGCTGCAATCGTAAGCTGCAATGACTGCTCTTTTTAAGAGAGATTAAAATTAAAACGGTATAAGCAACTTTCTTAGTATTTAACACTATTTTTGAGACTAGTGATTAAGTTATTAGACTCGATCTACTAAGAATATAAAAATTGATGTAATATTTTGAAATAAATGTAAATTTTGTAAACTATAAATTTCCATTTTCTGGTTAGGAGGGCATAAAGTCTGTATAGACCCTGTGTTGAATTTAAACCCAGCCGAACTCTGGTTACCCACAGTAATTTTTTTTCATCTTTATAAATCTATATATATATATTTTTAAAATTTAATAACAACTTTATTTAAAACAATAATGAAGTTTTTTAATCAATCCTTATACAGTGAGTTCAGAAGAGTCAGCCAGGTAGCAGCTGATATCAGTCTCTCCATCTTAGATGTCAGGCATTATTTATATGATATTATGCACACTTTCATCATTTTTTTTATTTTTTTTTAATTCTCTAAACGGATACTAATTTGAAATTATTAGTTGTCAAAATTATTACACTAATTCTAAATCAAAATTAGGCCCAAAAGATGTTCTGCTTGCCGCACACAGTCTGAAAAAAATGAAATATTTGTAAAACTCCAAGTTTTTGAAAGATTAAATCATTCAAATTTCTCGCGTGATTTTAAAACTAGTACATGTATTAAGGGGTTAGATCACGTTAGAATTCTTTTTTTCTTTTGCTTAAAATGATTCAAACAATGTTTTAAGAGCATAAACACTATCTAAGTACTACAGTTTTGAATTTGTGAAGATCACTTCGCAATACATTACCAGCTGATTTGTTTCCATATATTGCGTTTCTTAATTATTATTATTTATGTTAAGAACGATTTTCTGGCGATTTTAATTAGGAATGTTAAGTTTTATTAATAACAAAAAATCTCGCCACTCTCACAAAAAATCTGCATACGTAAAAACTCACACATACATCTGTAGCTGAGCCGCGATGGCTCAGGGGATACAGCGTTCGCCCTCCAATGAGGTCAACCGGGGTTCGATCCCGGCGATGGCTGGTCGATACCAATTCCACATCCGGCATGCACTGACCACAGTGCTGACGTGAAATATCCTCAGTGGTACACGGATCATGGGCTAGAGTCCCCTTGCCGTCAGGCTGACCATGGGAGGCTCTCGTGGTCTTCCTCTCCATGTAACGCAAATGCGGGTTAGTTTCATCAAAATATCCTCCACGAAGGCAAACTTCTACCAATACTTGACCCAGAAGTTCCCTTGTCTTCTAGAATGGGTTCAAAATTGCAAGGCTACATTAGTAGTTGTAAACCCAAAAATTGTGTCGGCTGTTCAACGACGGTTATAATACTTCTGTAGCTATTCACATATATAATTGATATTTTTTTTTCTTCTTTTTAATCTTTTTAAAAAATTACAGTTGCTGGTTAGACCATAGCAATCTTTTGAAAAAAAAAAATTCTTTTTTTAACAACTGAATTTAAAGCATTCACTTGGATACTTGCTAGCAACGTTACGCGTGAATCTTTCAATCAGGTTCTACACACACGCGTGACGTCACTTGAAGGTATCGAATTAAATCTGTTCCGGAAATTGCTTCTGCGTAATTTTAAACTAAACCCAAGCCTTAAAGTTGAAGCGTTTCCGAGCCATGCACAACCACGTGATTCAATACAACCATGTGATTAAAAGTATTCAAATAAAAGAAAAATCAATTTGCTCAAATCGTTGCAACTTCATCTAGAATATTGTGCACCAAATTCCTTGTTAATTTATGGATATAAAAGAAGAAAAAAGGACAAGCATGTTAAGTATTTTTTATCAAAAACTTTTTAGTAATTGTGAGAAAAATTGAAGATGAATAGAATTGTGTGTTCACACTAATTCTAAAAAGGTGTTACAGAATTTTTTTCCCGTTTCAAAAATTTCTAACAATGTTTAACAGTTTTGTATGCATTATTTTAATTGCACAGACTGAACATAGTTTACATAAAGCTGAATAAAATTTATTTACTGTTTCTCAATTGTAAAACGGTTCATAAATTTAGATATCCATTTAAGTATGCTTATCATAAAATTTTTGGTAATAACATAAGATTACTTTGAAGAAATGATGCTTTTATTTTTAACCCTTTGAATCAAATGTGCGGACAACAATGAAAAACAGTTTTATATCATTACGTTTTTATGTTATGTGATAAAAATAGATTTGAATCCTTTCAATTTTTTTCGTCCTGTATAAAATCAGTTTAAGCTGCTGACATGCGTTTCATTCACTTAACAACAATAGATTAAGCGAATTATCTGATTTTTAGAATAATTGTTATAGTCCAGAAGGTCAAAATATTCGTTAAACATTTCAGCCCAAAACGTTTCCTTCTTCTTTTTCTTATGAACATATATTTTAGTTTGATGGAAATAATTTTGTTGAAATATATAGCACATATTGCAGGAAAAATAATCAATAAAAATATGCGAATTAAACATAATTTAGACAGTTTGTAACTACAATAATAGCTAAATTTAAATTCGATGAACCGTAGAATAGGCTTAGAAATTTCAATTGAAGAAAGATATCTAATAGACCGGCATATACATTTGAGAATATTTTCCCAAGGTATTAGTAAAATAGAGTAAAACTCTAAAAAAGAGTACGTTTGAAACTAACCCACCAATCCATTACCAGATGAAAAATTGAAAACTGTAAGGCCCATAAAACTAGTCAGTCAACATGATTTCTCAAAAATTAAAGCACCGATCTAATTTAAGTTATGCGCATTTCCTTTTGATAAAGCTGACGAGTGATTTTTCAAATTTCACTTAAATTCTTCGATTTGGGATTATGTTAGATGCCCCTAAATATGCGAGTGTGAAAAAAAAAAGCAAATTTAATTTTTTTAAAAATTTTATTTTTATTAATACAAGGTAAGTACATGTTATTCTAAGATAAAACATTTATTATAAATTCGTACAATTTTTATCTGTTAAAAAGTTCAATTTCGCAAGAAGTTGAAATGAATTTTAATAAAGCTATAAGTTACTCAGAAGCGTTTTTTTTTCCCTTCTAAGAAACCTCCGAAAACTTATGAACAGGAGAATTTTAGTGTAATTAAAACTTAACAAAACATCGTTTAAATATTTTAATCAAATAACTCTTTCATTTAATAGTCCTCATTCATGATATAAAAAATTAATCATAAAATTTTTTTATGACTTTCAAAGCAAACGTAATTCCTAAAATTCGACATTTACTTATTAGAGAAGTACTTAACCTGTACTAAGAGGTTAATTCAAATTTTGAACTAATTATGTTTCTTTGCACTATAACATCAGTTTATTTTCAGACAAGTTTATTTCCGAGAACAAATTTTTGTTTCTGTCTCCATTAGCTTTTTATATAATTCGGAGTGATAATAATTGTCTTCAAACTTAGAGCCATATCTATGATAATATTTGGATATGTAATTTGAAATTTTCTTCACAATTTTGTTTGTTTAAAAAGTTGATTTTTGGAGAATTTCAAACATATTACTGCTTTTTAAATGTATTTGAAAAGTTTTCCATCAATAAATGAACTTTTAAATTTATTAATAATGTCAAGTTTAGTAAAAAGAAAGTTTTCCTTACTTTTTCTCATGTTGAATTGGAATTTTGAAGTTTCCACAGTATTTTTTACATTAATTATTATTATTTATAAATATTTCATTACACAGTACCAAAAGTAATTCTTTCAACACCACTGTTTTATTTTAATATTTTTTTTTGAATTTTCTTTATTAATAGCATTTCTTGAAAAATATTCATTAAAAACATTACATTAAGTTTTAAAAAAAAAGAAGAAGATGAAGAAAAAAACTTTATTACACCTTTGTTTGTAATATATGAACTTTGCGTTAACTTTAGATGCATTACAATGTTTCGAAAAATGTTCTATTGGACAGTTACCAAAATTTAAATTTTAAGGAACTTAGATTATCTCTAAATCTTGAAGTTCTGAAAATACTTACTATTTTTGTTAAGTAATTGTGTTCACGCGGATCTGCATAGAGAATGCAAAATCCCACCCCTATATCTTTCTGAAAAAATGCCTTAAACAATCTCATAAAATCCGATTAAATTTACAAGTCGACAATGTTAATTTAGACCAAAACATTTGACAGAAATCATATATTTATTAGGTAAAATTAAAAAAAGTACAAATACATATAGGAATAGAACATGACTAGACAATTTACTGAGATCATCATTTGTGACAAAAGCATAATACTGTTTTGAAGTAATTCAATTGTACGAAAACACACAGCTTTACAAGCACATGGTAAAAATGGCTTAAATTATAACAAAATATTAGTATTATCGTATACTGATAAGCAAATATAATCAAAAATCTGTTTAAATAATTAAGAGGATTCTACCCTCACATGGAATTCAATGTCATGATAGTGGATTTTAGGTTAAATTTTTGATTTTCGTTTTCTTAATATCTTTCGTACTTAATCTTCTGATGGTAAAATTTGACATCTAAAATCTTTCAAAAAAGAATTGAATTTCTATTAATTATTTCTCAACGCTTAAAATTTAACTGTTTCACAGTTCAAACTGATTTCGATGATGCTAAAAAATTCTTTAGTTTAAATTTATCAAAAACAGAGATTTTTATTAATAGTCTGGAAGCAGACAAATATACTATTTAATTACCTTTCAAATACTGCTGAATTTTATTGGTATAATTTTATCCGAAAAAATTAATGAAGAATCTGAAATACTGCACGCTTTATATCTAGACTTCTGATTGAGTGACTGTGATATCATACTGTCCAAATAAATAATTAGACCAACAAAAGAACGTCTTTTCTTTCCAGCCGCTACGTGCGAACTCTCGACCTTTATTTACAACATCTACATTTGCTGACAGCGCCATCGCAACATGGAGGCATGACAGTGACGGTGTAGTATTTCAGATACTGCTGAATAGAGTAAATATCCACCATCTTTTGTGAAAATTAAATAAAAAGGTTAAAAGCATATTTAGAATTTTCTTCCCATTCCGTATTTGATATCGGTGGAGGAAAGAGGCTCCTTAAGGACAATACATAATCACAACAATACCAGCATATGACTTACATTACATAAAAATTTGAACTTTTCTAAAGAATCTAAGCATAAAATTGCAAGAATGAAAATGAACATTTACAAAGAGCAGCTATGAAAAATGAAAAAAAATTATAATAATTACAATTAATTAAAGTTTAAGTTCGTAAAATAATCAAATATGAAATTCCATAGCTAAAATACAACAAAAAAATAATAATGTTTAATATTTCGAAATTTATTAAATTTAAGACAAAATAAATTATTTAAAAATGAGCAATTTGGGTCATCTTCAATTTTTAAAAGGTACTTCACCAAGAAATGGGAAAAAGTAGCAACGTCGGAGAAAAAGAATAAAAATGCTTTATAATTGTATTATATGGCAATTAAAGGGAAAAAGTCAAACCTTTAAGGTAAATTACTATGAAAATTTTAAAATAAATCCAAAAAAATAAAAAGTATAAAACTGTCATATGATAACTGACTCAGCTCATAGCTTAAAGTCTCATTTCTTTAAAAATTAAAATATCTTATTTACAAAATGGTATTTACATATGCTTTAAAATGTACGCTTACATGTACGATAATACAATTCCATAATACAACACGACAAGCTTTCAATGCATACTAAAATATACACTGCTGTTTTCCACTTTTAAAGAAGCGAAATCTCTATCTTGGGAATATCGAGCTCAGCGGTAAACTTATACAAAACTTTCTCTAGGTTTCACCACATTTCCTTTGGATTGCAAGATTCAATTTGTTGTACAAGGAAAGCTTCACTACAGTGAAAAATTCACTTTTTCACATGTACGTACTCAGATGTTATAGTGATTAGTTGGAAGAGTGCTTCTTGCTGTGTGATATTTAAACGGCCCTGCCTTCGGACGACCTGTCATTTGCCAGCTTTGTTCTTTGATTTTCAAGAGTCTGCTTTCTGTATTTTATTCGTCGATTCTGGAACCAAATTTTGACTTGGGATTCGGTGAGGTTTAGAACTTGAGCTAGATACGTTCTCTCTTGACCAACCTGAAATAGATGGAAATCGTTATTAATATTCGAACAAATAAGGATTACTTAGTGTGATAAAATCTAATCAAAACCATAAAACTGAAGCGAAACCAAAACCGAAGACACGCCCTCACTATTTTAATTCTCTGCAGAGAGAGTGGCTCCCCTCCCCCCGTCGCTTTATTAGCCGGACAACCATCTCGCGAAGTCCAGCAATTTACGGTAGAACAGTCTAAGGAGAACAGATTAATCTTAAAGATACCTTTTATTTATTCGAATAATAATCTAATCAAAATTTTTCTCCTGAAGTTAAGTGTTTTCCAGAATTTATAAACATCTATTTTAAAAAATTCTTCGTTAATTGCGGCAAATTTTCAACACTTTTTTTTTCTTTCTAATATGTAGAGTTAAAAGACAATTTAAAGAAAAATTTGAATTGAAAATTGATGGTTTGAAATAGATACACATTAATTTATATAAATATTACGCATGCTGGTTAGCTATAGTTACATGATTTTCGTCTAAATGATAAAAAAAAAGAAAGAAATTATAAAATCTTAAAATAAAAAATACTTAATCTTATATTATGATTCTGATCTTTGGCAATTTAAATAAATTTTAAGAGAAAAGAATATTTAATTCTCTATCTCATAACAAACATCTCATAACAAATAATACAATAATAGACAGAAATGTGATTTCTTAATGTTGTTTTAACTGCTGATTTCTCAATCCAACAAATTACTAAAATAATCTTAAGTTTCAAAATATATTTTTGTTTGTTTTTGTTTAGATATTCATAACAATACTTCAACATCATAAAATATCAAGTCTATTAAATTTCAGCGAAGGGGACATTTGATTAGTGTTGCGGTGCGATTATATGTTATTAAACACTAAATCCCTAGCAAAAATCTGAATAACGTCAATGAAACTATGGATTTTTCATGTACTTGACTAAATCTTGAAAAACATTTTATATATGCTGAGTCATTAGTATTAACCATAAGGTAATTAAAATGGGAATCAAAAACATTGATTTCCTGTATGTTAATATAAACAATATTAACCAAAGAAATGACAATTTCAGAAGAATGTTAATGTATAATGATAGATATAGTATAGGACATACTTTGGTAACTGCCATAACAAATAATAATTAAAGTAAATTGTAGTTTAGACAACTAATTTGATTATTAATGCGCCAAATTTTTTACTTACACGTTCAAAATAATTCTTTTCGTAGTACAATGTATCGAAGTTATTTTAAAATGATTTGAAGAAAATTTGTGATAATCAGATTCATTACAAAGCAGTGTCTGATATTTTTGGTATCTCGATTTTTTTTTTTGGTAATTAATCAAATTTTTTACTGGCAACTGGAATGTTGAAACGCGCTTATTCGTCAACTTTGTTTAACTTAGATCTAAAAATCAGAGTTTTTATACTTTAAATAACTTTCTTAACTATGTTTCTCATTCTAACTTTAAAAATGAGGTATAAAATAAAAAAAGACGTAATAATCTTACATAATTAGATTTTCTCTGGCAGTATTTCATTAGATTAAGCTATTTGGTAAAGGAACGTAGAATTTAATGGTTCAGGAAGCAGAAATGGTCATGCTGCGCCAAACAGAATCTTGACGTAATTATAAACTAAAACTCACCATATATTGTGATCTGCTGAACTCCTGTTCTAGTCGAGCCATTTGATCTGCAGAGAAGATGGTTCTCACTCTTTTAGACTTTCCTGATTCTATTTCAACAGAAATTGTTGGGCTCTTCCTTTTATTGGTACAAGAATTCCCACTCTCAGAACTTTCTGGTGAGGAAGTATATCTGCTAATTTCAGACTCAGTAGCTCTGTCTAAAAATTAAGAAAATGCATATTAATGAACTATTTTAGGAAACAAATCTCAGTTTGTGAGGCAGAAAATTTTAATTAAAAAATTTTGCTAGCCATAAGAATTGTGGTCATGCATATCTGTGATTAAGCTATTTGCTTTATCTTTACATTTTTAGAAATTTAGAATGGTTGCTTTATTAATTTTTACTGCTTAAATATTGCAAATTCCATCATTTTAATTCTTTCGAAAACATTTGGCATTAAAGATCTAACTATTATATGACTAATTATCAATGAATTAAAAAACTCAATCTACTACTACAAATTGTATAATTGGGTTCAGTGCAGTTTCAATATTCAAAAAAGAAAAAAAAAAGTCCATCCTAGAGTGAAGAAACTTTGTATTCTCTGGAAATCTTCTTAAACCAGAGTATGAATACGGTTATGAAATAATTAAGTCTAGTCAGATAATTTAAGAATGAAACAATATATTAATGATATTATTGTATATTAATAGGCTTGTTTTGATTTTAAAAAAAATTGATTCTGTCAAATATTGCAATCAATAATAGCTAAGCTAATTAGAGAATGAAAATAAAGCTACATGCATTAAAATTGAACAGTATATAACGGAATAACTGATAAAATTAAGTATTACAATAATATTTATAATATTTTTTCAATGGAAAATTTTATGACATAATTGTAAACATAAGATTATTACATCAACAAGATTATATTATATTTATATAAATTCTAACATCAGATGATTTTAATAAGAAATAAATAAAAAGTAAAAAAAAGTCAATATTATGATAAAATTTATGTTTAGCTAATGGGTAAGCCATAATTGAAACCATACATTTAAAACCATAAGATTATTGCATTATATTTATATATGTATTACAACATATGATTATTGCATTATATTTATATATGTATTACAACATATGATTATACAGCATTTCATGCCATAATTGAAACCATAAGATTATTTTAAGAAAAAAATATCTTTATTGACCAACACATTTTACCATTCAAAATCAAATAGCAAGAAGTAACTTCAAATGATCTTCATTTTTATAAAGAGAAAATTTCTTTTATTACAAATAATTTTGTTAAAATTAAAAATTGTTTTTTGATAAAATTGTTAAAATTTTGTTAAAATTTAATTTTAAAAAAAAGTTAGTTTTTTAAAAAGTATCAGAAATCTAGAACTAGAAAGAAAATTATTTTTTCCTAAGTAAAAGCATTGTATTCATTTGATAATGCATAAGCATTGTATTAAACACAAATCTAATAAGTAGTCACTAAATAAGTAGAAAATATTTGAACGTTTATCCTAGTAAGAGGGCACAAAAACCTCGAAAGTTTTTTTTTTTTTTCATTTCAGAGGAGAGAAAATAAAATTAAGCTTATAAAAATTAAGACATTAAAGATATTAGACACTCCTTAATAAGGAGTTTGATTAACAACCATAATAAAATTGATATACCCAAATTATTAGACAGCAATTTGTAAAAAACTTGATTAATTACCAAAAAAAAAAAAAAAAAAATCGAGATACCAAAAATATCAGACACTGCTTTGTAATGAATCTGATTACCAACTATTTAAAAAGCCAAATTGAAAATCGGATCAATGATTTCTGAAAAATACGATTGAATATTGATTATCCTGGAGAACTTGACTTAAAACTTAAGATACAGTACTGATCACCGCAACTTTTCCAAAAATTCAGATTTCCGAAAATCATTCTAACACATTTTACAGACAAAAAAAAAAAAAAAAAAAATTTTAAAATTTAAAAAAAAATTAATAAAATAAACTTGATGAATAGTTCTTGAATAAAAAAAAACTAAAACAAAAAGTAACTGTTGCATAAATAATAACCCAAAGAAAAATTTTGCACTTATTAAAACTTTACTATCATACTCAGAAACTAATTCGAAAATCGAAACTTGGGTACCCTATTTGAAAAATAAGTAAAATATCACTGAACGTTAATAGTTAATAAATCAATTCAATATGAAACTGATTTAAAAACACTAAAAATCTACTTTTAAAAGTAGGAAAATCTTATAATAAAAGCTTAAACAACATGAGCAAAAACTTACCAATATAGAAACTTAGGCATCATATTTGAAAAATAAATAAGATGTCAGTAAACGTTAATAATTAATAAATCAATTCAATATGAAACTGTTTTAAGAACACTAAAAATCTGCTTTTAAAAGTAGGAAAATTTTATTTTAAAAACTTAAACAACATGAACAAAAACTTACCAATATAGAATTCGGGAGAATAACTTGATGAACTGGAGATTGGTGAGGAGACATGGTAATGATTTGATGAGGACTCCAAAGATCCCATCTCTGGTTGACTGCTGCTTTCATTGCTATATGCCGAATCATTAGAATCATTTGTTTCATTTAATCCCAAGATGGAAGCGATGCCAAATTTTAATTCATTCTTTTGACTTGGCTGATTGGCAACAGATAAGCTTGGTTGCACACTGTACTGATGGTAATAATTCCCATAATGATAATAGGGCAGATAATCAAATCTAGGCTGCACACGTGGATTAATGGATACCATGGATGCTGATTCAGGTATTGAAATTTTCAAAGGCTTATAGTAGGGGGTATATCTGCTCTGCATTACTACTTGCATGATGACTTTGTAAAATCAAAACAAAGAAGGTGAAAAGTAAATATAAAACGAGAGAGTAACTTATGTCAGAAGTGCTAAGTCAGATATGGGAGACCAAACCAAAAAGTATTTTTATTTAGAGGTAGACTAAATATCCCCACTCCCCTCTGGTATCAAGGGGGTCCGGTTTTCGTCCACCAATGATCGAAACTTCGTTCTAAATGCCTTTCCTTATTAGCTGCGATTGACTTTGGGGGTTACTCCCCCTAAGAGAGGGAGGAGTTAAACTGGATGTACCAAATTTTTTGTACAGGAAAAATATGTGTCGATAATAATTGTTTTTAAATTCGGTTATTAGGTAAACATTATAAATGTGTATTTTGGAAAAAGAGATGGTCATTAGATTGTGCAAAAAATAGGACATTATCTTTTCTTGAAATATTTTATCTTTGTTTTTATTAAATTAATACTGCATTTATGTATGCAATACACAGATAGGTATTAAAGGAACGATAAAACAACTCATTAAAAAACCCAGCAGGTTAAAAAATTTACGGAAAAAAAAAACGTTATAGGCTGGGGAAAGATGTTCAGTCTAAAAAATAAGTTCAAACTCGCCTTCTAGGCATAATAGAATGTATATATTTAAAAAGCATAATTTTTTTTAGCAACATTCAAATAAAAATGACCGCATTAATTTTTTTTTCATCGAATAAAATAAAAATGTAGTACATTGCATGAAACATTTTCCATTGTTATCGGGACATTCTTATTTCCTAAAATTTCGTTCCAGTAGAATCAGGAACTACAATCTGTGAAACCAAATGTATATAATATTACGGTGGAATATTTCGGGAAATTTCAATTGAATGCTTTTTCATTTAGAACTAATCTGTTTACCGTAAGAAAAAAGAAAAAAAATCAATGAGAAAAGCGAGAAAGGGGCAGAACTCCCTAGTTTATAATTATGAAACAAATCTCCAATATTTTAAAAATATTCGTATCCCACATAACTTTAAATATTTTTTTAATCGAATGTTCAGATTATACTCAGGCAGAACTCCCTAGTTTATATTGATCAAACAAGTCTCGAATATTTTAAATATATTCGTATCCCACATAATTTTAAATATTTTTTAATCGAATGTTTAGATTATACTCAGGCAGAACTCCCTAGTTTATAGTGATGAAACAAATCTCGAATATTTTAAATATATTCGTATCCCACATAATTTTAAATATTTTTTAATCGAATGTTTAGATTATACTCAGGCAGAACTCCCTAGTTTATATTGATGAAACAAGTCTCGAATATTTTAAATATATTCGCATAACTTTAAATATTTTTCTAATCGAATGTTTAGATTATACTCAGGCAGAACTCCCTAGTTTATATTGATGAAACAAGTCTCGAATATTTTAAATATATTCGCATAACTTTAAATATTTTTCTAATCGAATGTTTAGATTATACTCAGGCAGAACTCCCTAGTTTATATTGATGAAACAAGTCTCGAATATTTTAAATATATTCGCATAACTTTAAATATTTTTCTAATCGAATGTTTAGATTATACTCAGGCAGAACTCCCTAGTTTATATTGATGAAACAAGTCTCGAATATTTTAAATATATTCGCATAACTTTAAATATTTTTCTAATCGAATGTTTAGATTATACTCAGGCAGAACTCCCTAGTTTATATTGATGAAACAAGTCTCGAATATTTTAAATATATTCGAATCCCACATAACTTTAAATATTTTTTAATCGAATGTTTAGACCTCAGGCAGAACTCCCTCGTTTATATTGATGAAGCAAGTCTGGAATATTTTAAATATATTCGTATCCCACATTGCTTTAAATATTTTTTTAATCGAATGCTTATATTATATAGGATCTCAATCCTTCAAAATACATTGCTCATCATGAGATCAAAATTTTCAATTGCCGTTCAGATCATAATTTGCAAGTATGGAAGTTTAAAAACTAATGACTGAAACATGAAAGAAAACCGTCACCCATTTTCTAGTCACCATTCTGACTCTTTAACCATAAATCTCCAAGTAACAACAAAGAATGTGACAAAAATTCTAGAGAGAGTACTTGGGGTGCTCTATCAGAAGTCACCTCTTTGTTCCTCCCTTTCACCCCAGGCAGTCTTCTAAGTACTAATGGGATCCCCTTGCCTATTTAAAAAGAGGGAAACTTTTCAAATAGGGTTATTATGTTCTGTTCTTATGTATTGGATACAATTGTGAAATTTCATAGTTTCAGAAAACCTCCAGTCAAGTCTTCTATGTGAAGTTCCAGGTGTCTATTTTGTACACCACTCACAGTTAACTTCTTTTAACAAAACTTTCCCAGATCGTATTCAACTAACTATTAAAAAAGGAACTCCATGTCAAACTGTTTTGAGGCTTCTAATAAAAATAAATAAATAAACTTAGATTTTCGCTAAGGTTGGTGTAATGAAATATTTAGTACAATTGTAAATAATAAACAATGTCATAACAATCAAAATTAAGAATAGAATCAGTATGGTTTACAGATATTGTAATGGATAATAAAACCAGTTTAAATCAAACCATACGGCTATGCAAAACAAAGATTGGGAGTGATTTGGATAACGTATAAATCAAATGATGAAAAATTGATGACCTGTGAACAAAAAAGAAGAAGAAAAATTGAGAAAATTAAGAGAATGAATTAATGGATAACGAAAACTGGAGAATAAGAAATAGTAACAACGAATCAGAATAAAAATTTTGTCAACCTAGCAAAGAAAAGGTCTAGTAGTTTTCAACCTAAATGTCTAGTAGTGATAAAAACTCGGTGAAGCATATAACAGTTCAAAGAATCTCGGAAAAAAGCACCTCGGAGTTCAAGGTTGCTTGGATATCGAAAAAGAATTGTACTAAAGTCGATATCATTAATCACTAATTACGTTTACGGTTATCGGATGAATGAAAATTAATAATAGTTAAAATATTTTTTTTATTTAATGTACTATAATTTTTGAAAAATATTTTTAAAATATCTTGCGCTTAACAGAAGCCAGATTAATAAATTTTATTGAAAATTTAAGTAAATAAAATGAAAAATTAATTTATGAAGTCCATTATTAGTAGATGTTTCCACTTCATAGCATAGCTTAACGATTCATTCTATATTCTATATTTTTTCGATAAGAAACTAAACGATTTTTATATTGTTTGGAAAAAATGTTTAAACTCCTGGCAGGGTAGCGGGTATTAAATTCAAATTTTTCCAGGGAACCCGGTACAGGCAAAAGTTGTGTACCCGATACCTTTGTAAAGGCAGGATGCGTGCAGCAAGTGGAATTGAAAAGTGGTTTATTATATGGAGCACAGTAGAAATTAATTGAGCCAACCTTAGTTGGGAATCGGCCATAAAGGTAAAGAAGAAGTTTTCCTTCATTTTAAATTCAATAATCTATCTATACATATAATTAAAATAAGATATGTGTGCTCTGCGTGTACCTGCATGCCAGATTGCGAGTATGAATGTAGGCACTAAAATGAGATATTAGACGGTTGTAAACAAATCACGAAGCCTGATTTTCGATTTTTTTTTTTTTTTTTTTTTTTTTTTTTTTTTTTTTTTAATTCAGCGACATTTAAAAGAAGATATTTTCTCATTGATTTAGCGGAAGCCAAAATTAAACTGAAGGCGATTCAGAAAATTAAATATTTCAAAGATTACATCAGTTATGTTTACTAGCTTGCAGCTCTAATAAAAAAAAGTTTTTATTGCGCGTTCTGTATTACGTAATTATTTTTTATTCATTATGCCAGATTTTCTGAATGATCTGAGTGATCGTGGTGGCATAGACGAACTGCGTCCCAAATTAGTATTCCTAAAGTTATTTGAAACCGCGTGTTAATTTTGTTTATAAGTTAAAGTTATTAAACGTGTTAAAATAAAAATAAATAATTTAAAATCAGCGGTAATTGAAATTAAAAAGAAACCTTTGTACTGAAAATCAAAATTAGTGAGAAAATAGAAAATAGTAGTAATTTGTTGAGCAAGAACGTAAAAAAAAACAGCAAAAAAAAAAAACGCTTATATTATTATTGTCTCCAATGATAATTAATTTTGGTTATACAATTACTGAATGAATTTTAAAATATAGCTACCTATTGAAAAACAAAATTAACGGAAAAAGGGAACTAATTCGCTTAAAAGACCTTACAAAATCGGCCAATTATTTTTGACGTCAATGATGATTAATTTTGATAATATGTACTACTGGCTTGTTAATTGGTACAGTTTTAATGGTACCATATATACTCTCATGCAAGTACAAAATAATAACTATTAAAGCTGCACCAATACAGTTTATACTGCGGAAATAAGTTTCTTTTTTTCTTTTTACGTCACTTCGAAGATTTAAGTACAGGAAAAAGTTGCTTGATTGTGGTAAATTTTTAATATCATGAGTTGCCTCGAGCAACATTATGCTGGATGATATTAAATACCATCGATATTTTGATGCGACGAACTATTAAATACCTGTTTTGTTTTATCGAATAACGTAAATACACAGGGAAGGACAACAAAAATAATAATAATGATTCTGATTTCTTTTTTTTAAACACTATATTAAAAACGGATATTCAGCTAGTAATTAAATAAAAAATACGAGAAACAATAACAATTATCATGTTTATTACGGTTCAGATGTGTTTCTTTTATTTTAAATATTTTCTTCTATTTAATATTTTTTAATCTATTTAATTCTATCATTTTATATAGTTATTTTTTTGGAATTGTTTCCAGAAAAAAAAAGTATCGAATGAAAATTGTCTAAATCAGTTTTTCAATAAAATAATAAATTTTTTCATGACAGCTATGCCCTCCTCATTATATTTTTTATTTTATCACCGTTGTTGAACAGCCGAGCCAATTTTGAGCTTACGACTACTAATGTTCATCTCCGTAGCCTTGTAATTTTGAACCCAATCCAGAATATAAGGGAATTCCTGGCAGAAATTTCCCTTCGTGTAGGACTTTTTGATGGAACTAACCAGCATTTGTGTTACATGCAGAGGAAAACCAAGAAAGCCTCTCACTGTTAACACGATTGCAAGAGGACTCTTACCCATGATCCTCCTACCACTGATGATATCGTACGACGACGCTATGGTACGAACCGGGTGAGGAATTCGTATCAACCAGCCATTGCTGGGATTCGAACGTGGGTCACCTCATTGTAAGATGTGTGATCAATCCCCTGAGCTACCATGATTCTAATATTTTTTATTGGAAAATCGGG